ACCTACTCTTTACTCTGTTTTTCAATTTTCAGTAGCAGATTGAAGGCAGGAATGGAACCAAGGTATAACAAAAGCAAGGTGTACAATGCCTGATGAAGTAATATTTGACACTCATGAGTTTTACTGATATTTTTAACATACATTATGCAATTAATATTTTCTTAATTGTGAAACTGCTTCTCTATCACCTGGAGAACATATGGAGACAAGTCTTTAATATTTGCATGAACCATATTTTCTGTTCTTCTGAAAAATATGTTTAAATTGTTTTAAACATATTTAACAAAGACTTGATTGACAATAATAGAGATCAGAAAAAAAGTTATTCACCTTTCTAACCATTATTCTTTGAGATGTGTTGTTTATATCTATTCCAATGAGGTGCTGCCAGAAAGCTTTACCCTAGTTGCTATCAATCTATTTGACTGTGGAGCCCCCTTGAGTGGTACCGGTGTGGTATACCATATATGACCCTGCCAATGCGACCACCCCTCAGTTCCTTCTGGCCAGCTACTCCTGGCAAGATAGTGGGAAAGGAGAATGGGTATAGAACAGGTCTGAGCAACACATCTCAAAGAACAAAAGTTACGAAAGTAATTAACTATTCTTTTCCTACTTTGAGTACTTGCACATATCTATTCCAATTACATGATTTGCAAGCCTTACCCAGAAGGGCCAGAACCAAAGCATAGCTGACAAGTATCTCAACACTGAAGGCTGCATCCTGACTGCACTGTTGCACAACGGCATAATGCAATGAGAAGGTATACACCAAAGACCACAATGAAGCTCTACAGATCTCCAGGAGAGGTACATGGGCCAGGAAAGCAGCCAAGCAGGCCTAAACAGAATGCACTGTCAGAGGAGGCAGGGAAACATTGGTGAGATTACCTTCTGGAAATGTGCTGCAATAAAACTGGCAGCCCCTTCACACAATCTGCCACCGCCACAAACAGCTGCCAGGACTTGCAAAAGGGCATGGTCTGGTCCATGTAGAAGGTGAGAGCTCGCCTGACATCAAGAGAGTGCAGTCTTTGTTCCCATAAGATCTGCTGGTGCTTAAGATAGTCAACAGGAAGGAATATGTCCTGCCTAGCGTGAAAGCTAGAGACCACTTTTGGGAAGAAAGCTGGGTAAGGACAAAGTTGGGCTTTGGCATTATAGAGACAGGGTATGAGGGCTCTGACATTAGGGTGTGCTGCTCTGACACCCATTGAGCACAGTTGATGGTGACCAAGAAAGCCACCTTTAATGGGAGGAAAAGCAGAAAGCACATGGCCAAGAGCTCAAAGGGAGGAGGAATCCATGAACGCCAGAAGGACTGAGACAAAATACAGGACTATGTAGCACTTTAAAGACTAACAAGATGGTTTATTAGGTGATGAGCTTTCGTGGGCCAGACCCACTTCCTCAGATCAAACCTCAGATCAAAAGGACTGTGGTGAGAATCCAAGTAGAGACAGGGCACCAGCCTGCAGGGTGGAATCTATCCATACCCTCAAGGAAGCATTCAACCAGAGAGTTTGCAAAAACCAAGCGACTGGCTTCCCTGGGTGGAAAGCTAAGACATCTGCCAGGCACTTTCAGATAGGAAATCATAAAATCAGGAGGTCATCCCCTGCCCAAAGGAAGACCTAACTAAAACATCCCAACCAGGGCTTTGTCGCAAAACCCTGCTGGTATAGGGACATCAGGTACTCCAACATGTAAGGGATAGAGCCCAACAATGGTTCCACATTACATTGCAGACACTAACAGGAGAAACACTTCCATTTAGTCGGATGTGTAAATCTAGTAGAGGGCTTTCTACTGCTCAGAAAGGCATGGAGGACCTATTCTGAGCAGGTCTGCTTCTCAGGATTCAACCGAACAACTACCATGCCATGAGCTGAAGATAACGTAAGTCCAGGTGGAGAAAGCAACTACAGTCTTCCTTAATTAAGTCCAGGGGCAGAAGAAGTGGAACGGAAGGTTGTACCAACAGCTCCACAACGGTAGGGTACCAGTGCTTATGGGCCAAAGCACAGGTTATCAGGTAACATTCACCATATCCCTGCTAGGGAAGTTCACCAAGGAATAAAGACATTGTCCACTAGGGATCCTGAGCTGAGACTCCAGAACAAGCAAAAGCACGATTACTTCCAATTGTCCCAAATGACCAAGAGGTCTACCTGGGGAACTCCCAATACTGCAAAAGAGCGTATAGAATGGCCGGCCGCACTGACCTTTCATAAGCACACAAGCAGCAGCTGAGGTGAAGGGAAGTTCACCAAGGAATAAAGACATTGTCCACTAGGGATCCTGAGCTGAGACTCCAGAACAAGCAAAAGCACGATTACTTCCAATTGTCCCAAATGACCAAGAGGTCTACCTGGGGAACTCCCAATACTGCAAAAGAGCGTATAGAATGGCCGGCCGCACTGACCTTTCATAAGCACACAAGCAGCAGCTGAGGTGATCTGCCAGCTGGTTGTGGAACCCTGGGAGGTATGATGCTTCCAGGTGAACACAGTAGGATATGGACAAAGGGATTCTGAGCAGAGGAGGGATGAATGAGTTGATGTAGTAAATGGCAGCCATATGATGTATCATTACCACCATGCACCATCATTGCATTTCTATTCTACATTCAAGACATGAGAGGTGGACTGCCCAGCCGTCATGCACATTGATGTGGAGACAACTCCTTCATTGTCCATATTGGTTGAGTGGTGAGTTCCCCTAAGTGAGCCCTCAGCCTGAAGTGGACATGTTTATGACCAGGACACTAAATTGCAGGGCATGAAAAGAGATAGTAGCCATCACTGACTGTGGGTTTAGCCACCACCAGAGGCCATGAACGACATGGCAGAGAACCATGACTACCATGTCAATGCTGTCATACCCTGGATGGTATGTCTAGACCAGCCAAGATTGTAAAAGCTGAAGGTGGAGCCTAGCAAATGGGACTACACACGTGCACGCTACCAAGTGACCCAGGAATTTGAAGCATGTTCTGGCTGCGGTGAATGCAAAGTCAGTAAAACAACCTGAGAAGCTGAGTTAACACTGAAGCGTTGCTCTGGCAGCAATGCCCTGGGGCTGTCACTGCTCCGATGAACTCAAGCCTTTGAGTGGGAATGAGAGCTGACTTTTCACAAGTAAGCAGCAGATCCAGGCATCTATGGTAGCCCAGGTAAAGGTGACTTGCACCTCCACATGCTGACAGCAACAGCCCCACAAGAACCAGTTACCCCTATATGGGTAAACCTATACCTTGTAAAGCCTGAGGAAGGTCACCAGCACTACCATACATGTGGCAAAGAAACAGGGCACCATAAACAGGACCATCAACTGAAACACCAAAAGGGCAAGACCATGAACTGAAAGTGTGTCTGCCCCACCAGAAAGCAGAGGTACCATCTGTACAAGGATCTGATTGCAATATGAAAGTAGGCGAGGGCAGCATACCAATCCCCAGGGTGCAATAAAGGGATGATGGAGCCCAAGGAAACCATCCAGAACTTGTGCTAAAATGTTGAGCTCCCTGAGGTCCAGGTTGGGGGTGACGGTCCTCCTTTGCCTTGAGGAAAAGGAAGTATCAAGAGTAGCAACCCCTGCCTGTGAGTTCCTGAGGGAGCTTCTCCATTGCACCTCCTGAACCAGGAATTGCTCGTGAGAGGGATCCCTGAAGAGGGACAAGCAGGGGAAGGGGGCGGTAGCAGAATGAGAGTAGATCACAACCACCATCGGAAGGACCCAAAGTAGTCCAAAGTAATGCCAGCCCAATGTAGGTGAAAATGAGACCGTCAGCTGAGAAAGGGCAGGGAAGGATCTGGCAACATAGGTACACTTCATCCTCTAGTGCAACTTCAGAAGGGCTGCTTTGTGCCAAAAGAGCACTTTGACTCTGGTGGTTACCAGACTGGGACCGAGACAACTTATAGAGGGAGTATCCACCCAACTTGTGGGTGCCAATGGGCGTAGTCAACCCTAGTGCAAGAAGGGAAGAACCTCTGGCAAGGGCCAAGGCTTGAAAGCTTTATATTGTGTTGACTGGGTATGTATGCCCAAATAATTCATAGCGTTCCTGATGTCCTTAAGGCTATGCCGGTGAAAGTTTGTTTGCTCGGCAGGTGGCCATTCTGTCAAAGGGAAGGTCCTGGAGAATTTGTTGGATCTCAGGAGGGAGCCTCACGGGTTGAAGCCAAGTGACATTTCATATGGTGATGCCAGAGACAAGAACTCAAGCTACCAACTCCCCAGTATGTAGTGCCGCCTGGAGACGGGTGCAGGATAAAGTCTTGCCCTCCTGGATCAAGGTGGCAAATTCATCCTGTGACTTGTGGGGCAGCTAGTCCTTGTATTTTAGAAGAGAAATCCAGGAGTTGTAATCATAGCAGCTCAGAACGGCTTGCTCATTTGCTATCCTGAATAGTAGGTCCCTCTGGAATAGACGAGGCAAAATGTGTCATGGTGCTTAGCATCCTTCAACTTCTTTGCTGGAGCTTGGTGACCCTGCTGATCCTTTTTATTTACTGCCTCTATCACTACAAAACAATGTGGGAGTGGTTAAATAAGAACATAATGGCCACACTCGGTCAGACCAAAGGTCTATCTGGTCCAGTATCCTGCCTGCCGACAGTGGCCAATACTACATGCCCCAAAGGGAGGGAACACAACAGGTGACCACCACGTGATCCCTCTCCTGCCATCCATTTACAAACAAACAGAGGCTAGGGACATCACTGCTACCAATCTTGGCTAATAGCCATTGATGGACCTAACCTCCATGCATCTATCTAGCTCTTTTCTGAACCTTGTTCAAGTTCTAGCCTTCACTGCATCCTCTGACAAGACGTTCCATAGGTTGGCTATGTGTGGAGTGATGAAAAACTTATTTTTGTTTTAAACCTGCTGCCTATTAATTTCATTTGGTGACCCCTAGTTCTTATATTATCAAAGTAAATAAATTTTTCTCATTCACTTTTTCCACGCAAGTCATGATTTTATAGACCTCTATCATATCCCCCCTTAGTCTCCTCCATTCTAAACTGAAAAGTCCAAATCTTTTTAATCTCTCTTCATATGGGACTCATTCCAAACCCCTAATTATTTTTGTTGCTCTTCTCTGAACCTTTTCCAATGTCAATATGTCTTTTTTGATATGAGGCAACCACATCTGTACACAATACAGTTTGAAGTGTGTACATCAGGAGTACAATAAGTATTCAAATCTCTTGACAGTCTCCAGCAACAGTGCATGCTGTACATGCACACATTCCATAGAAGCACCTGAAGAAAATTGTGTGTGTGTTTTTCTATATGTATATTTTACTCAAGGAGAAGTGCTTCTAGTCAATGCATAGATTATATTCCTTTTACTCCTGGCTCTAACTCTGTGAAATCCTTTGGTCATATATTCTTACTATCTAAATGTTAAATGTTCAACAGTTGTATATAAGATATCTCCTTTGAAATCAGGATTTACTTTCTTTTTTGTCACCTTTTAAAATCTGTTTACTTTTGGAAATTGAAAAATTATCAGAAAGTGTTCTCATTCAGCTGTAGGTTATCTTTCACTGCAGGATACCCATGGCTGAAGGTTCAGCAAAATAAATTGCACGAGGAATAATTTCCTGTGGTGGGATAAAGATCAGTGATGAATGCCAAATCCACAAGTAGAAGATTTCTTACCCTTTGTGGTTAATTATTTAGGAAATATGTGACAAGCAAAGTAAAACCCAAATAAAATATAAGGAACTAGTTCAATTAGCGAAAGCCTAGGCACAAAACAGGGATCAACTGGGAGTTCGCACAGCTAATTAATGTTATACTGCAATTCTTTTTTATAAACATTTGTGGCTCACAGAAAAATAAAGGAACTGATAGTTAACTATGTTTTTGAAAATAAGTTGATTTTTTTTTTTTAAATCACACATTGTATTACGGTATCAAAAGTATTAAATTAAGAATGCTTGTTTCACTAGTGACATTACAGTATAGAATAATGTTATTTAACATCGTCTTATTACCATGGATTTAAAAGCCTGTAATTCTGCTTCTAGCTCACTGATTTTCTCTTCTTTTTTCTGCAGTAGAGACTGTGTCTCCTGATGAACTATAAATTCTTTTTCTAACTGTAAGGAAAAAAACAACATGAGACTTTAATTGATATGATCGACACTGCTATATTTCTTCAGAAAAATCTAATATTTTCTTGATCTTTCAACACAAAGCCAATAGCCGCAGTATCGTGTGTTTCAATGTATGAAATCTGATACAGCAATCTGGTGTGTTAAAGCAGGCGTTCTCATGTCCAGTCAAACAGTTTTATAATTTATATCAATTATTTAGTTAAAAGGACTTTACTAGGTAAAAAGTGTCTTCAAAGATCAGTTTGGGAATATCACCACCACACCAAGACTTAAGTCATGTACAGGAATACACTATTCAAGAACACAGAGTAAATGGAGAAGTCTGACAAATCTGAGAGTTATTACATATTCTGTTTAGACTATAAAATGTGTTAGGTTTTATTCTCAATCTATCTCAGTTTATTCCACTGGTCTGTAACATACAAAAGGTCTGTAACATACAACTCCAGCCATCTACAAGACTTGAATTTCTCAGTTATTAAAGTTAAGGTTTACAGTTTGGAATTTAAAATAAAAATCTACCAATTATAGTATTTGCACTAGATACCTGCCTTTTGCATATTACACACATACAACACTTTTTTCCTTCATAGGAAAAAAAACATGGTTACTCAAAAATAAAAATATGTTGTGAACCGTCACCATTTGCTGTAACAAATTTATATGGTCATCTAATAAAACTCATATCTGTTTAGAAAGTTTGAAATAATTTCAAAATTACTTACTTTCCTGGAAAGTTGTGAAGCTCTCTCTTCAAAGTGCTCTATTTTTGCTTTATCTACACAAACATCTAAAACCAGAGTTATACTTTTTTTAATTTATATGCCATTTAAACTCTTTGCCTTTATAAAAAACACAAACACATATCTACAAAATAATCATATCTAACAGCAGTGCTTACCTATCAAATGACTTAAATTGATATCTAACTTCTTACGATAGGAGAAATCTGGGTCTGTCCCGCTTCGATGCAAAACTATCTGGGACACACATTCTTCAATTAATTTGAAATACTGGGGTCTAAAGGAGGAAAGAGAAGGAAAACATTTTGCAGTAGGTTTATTTGTCAGTGCACACTTATATTAACCATAAATCAAAGGTATTCCAGAATAAATACATTGGTGCTTAAAGCATTTAGAATTACTTAGCTTCATAGAGTTACAGTTTTAAATTCCAACAGCTTCACAGTATTTCACCATTCAAAGGCAAATACAGCTAAACCAGTAGTTCTGAAACTTTTAAAAATCCTCACCCTTGTTTTCTCTCCCTCATATATAAGTTCTGTACTTCTTTCCCTCTAACTCTAGTCCTTCCCTATCACGGCATATATTTCCCAGCCTAGTAGCTCCTTCCTTCTTCATATGTGCTCTGCAGTTTTTTCCCTCTTCTCCTGGCATGTGCTCTCCTGCTGCCTGGTCCTCTTTTCTCTCTACTCACGTAATATCAATCACAGACCTGAGGGATGTAAATGTTGGCCGGCAATGAAAGTCTTGCAGTAAAGAGTTTTCCTTGTGATAGCATCTGTCCAGCAGCCTAAATGACACCTTTTCTTCATGACAATAGCATGGATCTCAATAGTCTACCATTCAGTTTATTACAGCTAAGAGGATGACCTCATGTCACAAGAAAAGCAAGTGCAGATTCTTTAAAGCAGTACATGAGGCAAACGCTATGCATTACAAAATTAAAATTTTGTTCTTAAATGTCAGTATTGGAGACTCTCTAGTCAAACTTAGCTTTCTTGAAGTGAAGGTAGGCTAGAAACACTTGAATACAATGGTTACTCACTTATTCTGTAACTACTGTATTGCTCTTTGTGATATGCTACACATATCTATTCCATGTCAGTAATTTACGTGCCTGATTCACTGAAGCCAAAGTGTTTTCTATAGTTGTATCCAACAGAGTGATGCATGAATCCTGTACCTGCTTGTATTTTCAGGTGGGCATATAAAGAGCAGAACCACACCAAACCCACATGAACTACAATGAACTAATTCTGAAGCAGAGGGGAAGGAAAGCTGGTCATGAAATGCACATGTTCAACAAATCTCAAAGAACAACAGTTATAAAACAGCAAAGAGAAAATACATCCCCTTTTTAAAGTCATTGCAAATGTCCATTCCATGTAAGGTGATTGCTGAGTAGTTCAGAAGTTAATCAGGACTCAATTTCTATCAGAAAACAGACAGTATAGCCACCATTGTCTCTAGAAGAGTAAGAGTTTAATTTCTGATAAAATTTGTGTACGGATGACCATGTTGTTGGTCTGCATTCATCAGAAGTTGAAAGCATTTTCCTACAACAAAGTTCCTTGAGGTCTGTAGAACATAGAAAGATCTATTGAAGGGCAGGCGCCCTTCAATTCCAACGACAATAGAGGGCGCCACAGTGCCTGCGCAGCACGGCAAAAACAGCTAGAAAAGTCTCCGGCGCGAGGACACACCAGCACCCAGAGTGGAGCACCCACGGGGACCACTCAAAGGAGAATCTTGTATACCCCGCATATGAGTATAATCCGCGGGGTATACAAGGCTGTGCCGGGGGTATATTTATGGTGCGGGGGAGGGGAGGGCAGAAATTAGCCAGCCACTCACCGCCCAGAGGCTGGAGGCTGCAGGAACCAGGCAAGGGAGTGCTCACCGCCCAGAGGCTGGAGGCTGCAGGAACCAGGCAAGGGAGTGCTCACCGCCCAGAGGCTGGAGGCTGCAGGAACCAGGCAAGGGAGTGCTCACCGCCCAGAGGCTGGAGGCTGCAGGAACCAGGCAAGGGAGTGCTCACCGCCCAGAGGCTGGAGGCTGCAGGAACCAGGCAAGGGAGTGCTCACCGCCCAGAGGCTGGAGGCTGCAGGAACCAGGCAAGGGAGTGCTCACCGCCCAGAGGCTGGAGGCTGCGCAGGAACCAGGCGATGTGAAAAAAAATTTTTGTATACCCCGCACCCGAGTATACCCCGCAGGGAGGAGGGTGCAGGGTTTGTAAAAATGAATATAACCCACGGGATATATTCATTAAATTACAGTATGTGACTTGGGTAAGAATGTTGGTAAGCAAATCATTTCACAGCAGTGAATACCTAAAACAACCTTTGTTACAAACATGGGATAAGGGCTGACAGGACATGCCCTTATTAAAAAAAAACTGTGCCGCAGGGCTCTACTACAAGGGCTTGCAGCTGCCCCAGCCTTCTGGACAAGATTATGGCCATCAGGACACTTTCACAGAGAGAAGTAAATGGGAGTACGCACTCAAAAGGAACTATTAAAGATTAAGAAACTAAAAATCATATCTTGGATGATATTAGGCCATAACTAGTTAAGAGACTATCTTTATCAAAAAACCTAACGATGGGATTAGAAAAGGTTAGTAAAATGAGGCTGCAGTCAAAACAATGATCTTAGGGAAATGACTGATCAAGTCTTCATTAAGGACAAGCAGTCTGGACTATGAAGGTGTGATTTGTAGAATCTCTAAAGAGTTGTCCTATTACTGCCCCACATAGACCCTGCTGGTCCAAACTAGAAGATACTTAACTCAATTTTAAATCATATTTGAATGTTAATATTCTGTACATGAATGTGTTGTTTTTCATAGAATACTAGAATATTCGAAGTGGAAGGTACCTCAAGAGGTCATCAAAGCCAGTCTCCTGTCCTCACAACACAATCAAGCACCATGTACATCATCCCCAACTGATGTCCATTCAACCTGATCTTAAATATATCCAGTGATGGAGATTCCACAACCTCAAGGCAATTTATTCTACTGTTGAACCATCCTAACCGTTAGGAATTTTTTCCTAACATCCAACATAAATCTCCCTTGCCTCAGTTAAAGCCTGCTGCTTCTTGTCCTGTCATCAGATGTCAAGGAGAATAATTTTGTTCCCTTGTACATACTTGAAAACTGCTATAATATCCCTTCTCAGTTCTCTCTTTCAAATTAAACAAACCCAGTTCTTTCATACTTCCCTCAGAGGTCATGTTTCTAGACCTTTAATCATTCTTGTTGCTCTTTTCCGGACACTCTCCAGTTTCTTCATGTGTTCCCTAAAAGGTGGTGCCCAGAACTGGACACAACACTCAGACTGAGGCCTAATCAGTTCAGAGTAGAGCAAAGGAATCACTTCTCGTGTCTTGCTCACAACACTCCTGTGAATTCAGTCCCAGAATCACGTTTGCTTTTTTTGCAGTATTGTCATACCGTTGACTCATTTAGCTTGCATTCCACTACGTGACCCCTAGATCCCTTTCTGCAGTACTGCTTCCTAGACAGTCATTTCCTATTCTGTATGTGTGAAACATATTGTTCCCTCCTAAGTGGAGTACTTTGCATTTGTCCTTATTAAACTTCACCCTGTTCACCTCCAATAATTTCTCCATTTTGTCCAGATCATTTTGAATTATGACCTTATCCTCCAAAGCACTTGCTACCCCCTCCCACCTTAATATCATCTGCAAACTTAATAAGCATACTCGTTATGCCAATATCTAAATCACTGATGAAGATATTGAACAGAACCAGACCCAAAATTGACCTCTGCTGACCCCCCACCTTCCACCATGACTGTGAACTAGTAATAACTCCTCTCTGAGAATAGTTATCTAGGCAGTAATGCACACACCTTATAGTAGCCCCATCTAGATTGTATTTCCCTAGTTTAATGATAAGAAGGTTATGCAATACCCTATCAAATGTTTTATTAAAGTTTAGGTATACCACATCCACCACTTCCACCTTATCCAAAAGATTTGTTATCCATTAAAGAAAGCTCTCAGATTAGTTTCACATGAGTTGTTTTGTTTCTGTTTTTGGCATGATCCCAAAATATTCCCCAACAATACTGCTGAGAACAATTGCTATCTTGAATAGCTTGTATTTCTGTCATATTTGAACAAAATAAAAGGCAATTATCTGGCCCTCTGCATTTCTCCCCAATTCGGAAGTACTGATGAACATAAACAGAGATATTAGAGTTTATAAAAAATATTCCAAGATAGTACTTCAAAAGTACTATTTGACAACCTAAATATACTGCCACTTAGCAGTTACCCTATAGTTTATTTATTTGAGGTCAAATTTGTAAAATATATATTATACATGCCTGAACTGCTTACCTGGCACTTCAAATTCAAATGCACAAGTAATGTTAATTGAAACTAATACATCAACATCTGTAGATATAAAATTGCATCTTTATCCATCTAGCCTTATTGTTTAAGCCATATTTCTAGCAAGAATCAAGTACGATTCCCATGATCAATAAGAAGAGTATTTTTATATTTTGTTTAATAATGTGCTATAGATGACACAAGTAGCTAATACCATTCAGATCCCAAAATGGACAGGGCCTTAAATTAAAGCACAACTATGTTCTAACTAAAAAGAAAGTAAGAACAATTAAATAATTTATTCTGATTCAGGGTTCATTCTCTTCTTTAACACCATGTTGTTCTGACGTAAAGCTGCCATTTGTGCAATATCCGTTTTTTAAATAGTAACTCGGTTTTTGCTATTTGATACATTATTTTGAGTTAGTCTGTCACTGGATTTTATTGATGCTATTTTCCCATTATTCAGTTTGGCACAAAGAAACACAAGAATTAAAGAGCTGATACAACTATTTTACCTTACCGTATAAAATAATCATTACGTATCAGCAAAAGATGCTGGAGTATAGAAAGAAAATATCCCTCAGCATTAGTATCCTTCACTGTATTCCACACCATATTGTAAACATCATTTGCTTCAGTAAAGAAGTTAAGGAAAAAAACTAACTTTTATTTCCAATCTAGGATATATATTTTTTTTAAACAAACTACTTAAATAAAGTATACTATTCAAAACACAGTAAAGAAAATCAGTGCAGTCACGTTTTGTGCTACAAAAAAATCTTATATTCCTAACACAGAAACAGAATTGAATTTTCTAATAAAGCAGTGGCTCCCAACCTGTGGCCCGCACATCCTTGGGGTCCACAACAGTACTATAGGGGGGTCCATGGAAAGTTCAGAACAAGTAAGGATTGGGCCCACCACAGGACTGGCTTTTTCCTCCAGTTGGTTCTCGCCCAGGACTCACCTTCCATGACCGGCTGCGCACTCACTGCCTTCCACCACTGGGATGAGATCTTGATACCCCAGAAGGCACCATCTGTATTCCAGCCACCAGCTGCACTGCTGTTTACGCTCCAGGCCTCTCCCCATTACCAGTCCCACAGTGGGCCCGATCCTTGCTTTTTCCTTTTTTTCTCCCCCAAGGCTCCATGCCCGGACAAGAGCAGAGTGCTAAGGCAGGAGTTGCCTTTGGCTACATGAGCCCCCTCACCATATCCTCTGTAGATGTGCAGAGAATGGAGGAGACAGAATCTGAGGAAGCAGCATGTGCCAAGGGCAATTTTAACAGATTAAAAAGAGGTCTACATGCTCAAAAAGGTTGGGAACCACTGTAATAAAGCATTATTGTCTGTATGTATTAAGTTCCCACTCCCAAAAGGATATTCTAGTTCAGATCTAATATCTTCCAAACGATGAGAAAACTCAATCATGTCTTCTTCCTTGTGCTCATTGAAGACTTTCAGCTGGATATCTAAAGCCTCATTCTTTATACATTTCAATTGCTGCAAAGAAAAAGCAGTAGAACGACACACAAAACTTGTAATTACACACAAATAAAGCCTTCAATTTTGAGTAATTTTGATAAGTTTATGTTATTTAAGTATTTAACATTGCAAGAACTTACTTTAGTTACTCAATATGAAATAGTATTTATAGTATACATGAAAATGTATTTGTACATCATGCTCTTCCATACTTTCTATCATTAAAATCATAAAATTTTGTAAGTGACCTTTTTAATACTCAGACTTTGTATAATATTCTAGAATGCATTTCATACAACTTCTCCAATTTAGGTAGTCTGCTAATTTTACTATTAATGCAAAGAAACTCCAGAGGCACTCACTGGCAATATCTCCTTCAATCCAGAGCGCATAAATTCATTTCTGATGTGGAGCCTGAAGTCCAGATCATCAGGAGATGTTACAAGAGCATTGATGAGCTGCATACAAGCTACCTATAACAACAAAAAAGAAAATAAGAAAACAGACTAAAGTATTTCCTAGTTTTCAATATATTTAACATTTAAAAGAGTATTACAGAAAACTGAATACCTACTTTTTAATGTGTTCTACATCTTACAGTTTTAAATCTAATCTGTCATGTTTAAGTCATTATTAATAAAGATACTTTAATATACCAAAATCTATTTAAGCCCCGGATGTCAAATATGAAAGTGAGACATGACATTTGTCATGTTACCATAAATAGAGAATTTCAGTTCTGTTTCTCTTCCTTGAACGCTGAAATTGTATATAAAAATGTAGATCATTTCACCCATAGTAACAGAATGCCTTGAGAGACGGTTTATTATAAAATTATACTCAATATTTAACGTGTTTGGTGTACTACTGCATTAGGGATTTTATGAAAAAATGTTGTTTAATTTAATGTAAATAACTGAAATCTGTGCATGTGAGTATATATTAAACTGTGTGACATGATGAGAACTGGCAACTACATTTCACATGCAGACAAAAAAATGGGAGGTCTTGAAAGCAACATATAAATCACCCTACAAAATCTAAACTCTGTACAGAAGAGGACAAATAAAATAGTTCCCTTCTTCATTTACAAAAATTCCCAAAGTGAGTTTCATAACAGAACACGGGGAAAAATAGCTCTGACTAGGAAACAACTATTGCACTAGGAGGATGGTGAAGTACTGGAATAGGTTGCCTAGGGAGGTGGTGGAATCGCCATCCTTAGAAAGTTTTACAGCCCAGTTTAACAAAGCGCTGACTGGGATGATTTAGTTGGAGTTGGTCCTGCTTTGAGCTTGAGATTGGACTCGATGACCTCCTGAGGTTTCTTCCAACCCTAATCTTCTATGATACTGTTTTCAGTTAAAGTGTCTTTTGTATGGTGATTCTATGATTACTCTTTAAAATAAGAAAACAAAAAGCAAGATAATATAATAATCTTTCCAGAAGAGTCAGAAAAATAAAAGCAAAATATTTGCAAATTCTCAGAGTGAATGAACAGCAACATGGAGGAGCTAACTGCCATCTCATGTGGTTGTCCATCCTTGCTATACAGGAAGTCCACACACACCTCTGCATAACCTTGTATGGGCCCAACAGAACTGGGCAGCCAGAGCACAGCAGCTACTAGCCCGGTGTCCAGTTCCAAAGGCAGGACCACTGCTAGTAGCTGTGCAGAAGAAGAGGTGGCAATACCATACCATGCCATCCTTACTAGACTACTGCAACTCCTGTATGTGGGAAGTTAGTGGTCCAAGATGGAGTACATGGTCACATGAGCACATAACACGCTCTTAACTTTTTTTGTTGAATCATAGAGATTGGCCATTCCTGGCCAACATGAGTTGCAAGCAGCCGTACCTGCAAACGTGCAGATAAATAAAGCACCAGTGGCCTTCCAGGGGATTGAGAGGCACCTCGATACTTGTTCTACAGAAGCAGTAACAAGGGCGATAGACAATACCTGGATGGGTGCTGATGAACAGACATGACCAGTCATAGTCCAGCAAGGAAGATACAATGTAGGAGGACACACCCAGGTATGCTGCAAGACATCTGGACACTGAGAAGACTGAAGGTTCCAAAGGATGGGCCTAATCTAGATTTCAAGGGCAAGTCATGCCTGACCAACCTGATTGGCTACTATGACGAAGTTACTGACTCTGTGGATATGGAGAAAGTGATGAATCTGATATACCTTATAGGGATGTAGTGTAGTCCATTAACTGATAAGCAAAAGCTTATAGGTTAATGCTATAGTCTACAGACTACAAGCATTTCCCCCCTGCCACCTTCCCTGCCACCTGCCAGTACATTTTTTTTAGTAGGTTGACCAGCAGTTCAGCTCAGTCCTGGCTCACACTAAGTCAGTTACCTACCCTCCCTATGGCTCTGCATTTTAAGTGTATTACAAGACAAGCAGGCAGGCAGCCTGGCTCAGTTCCGGCTCATGCCAGGTCCTGGAGCTCAGCCCCTTCCTCCCCCTGACAGTTTTTAAACTGGCTCCCCTTGAGGGCCAGCTCCCATCTGGCACCCTAGGCTGCTGCCTCTAATACAATGGCTTCTGGACCCACCCCCAGGGACTACAGAATAGTCGACTAACCGACAAGAATTCATGAGGTTAATCGACTATTCAATTAATCAATATTTAACATCCCTAATACCTGGAGGGTGCGGAGTAGGAATTAGTGTTGTACTATTGGGATTTGCATTTGGATCACTATTTTTAAACGTATAAATGTTCTTGAAGAAGGTATGAATAGTGACTAATCCAAAACTGAAGGCAAAAAGTTACAAAGCAAAGCAATCTCACAAAACTAGGTGACTGGTCAACACAAGGGCAGATGGAATTCAGTGTTGATAAATGCAACGTAATGCACATGGAAAAAATATAATCCTAACTATAGATAGAAAAATGATGGAGTATAAAATAGCTGTTACCACTCAAGAAAGATTTTGGAATCACTGTGGATAGTTCACTGAAAACATCTGCTCAATGTGTAGTGGCAAACTAAAAGGTAACAGAATAGTGAGAGTCATTAGTAAAGCAATATATAATAAGACAAAATACCGTATTGCCTCTATATAAAGTCATGGTATGCCACATCTTGATTAATTATGCAGATCTCCCCATCTAAATAAAAGATATACTGCATTTGGAAAAGGTACAGAAAGGACAACAGAAATTATTAGGGTTAAGGAACAGCTTCTAATAGAGGAGAGATTAACAAAACTGGGAATTTTCAGCTTGGAAAAGAAATGACTGAAAGGTGAGAGGATATGTTAGAAGTCTAGAAAATCATCAATGGTGTGGAAAAATAGAATAAGGAAATATTATTCATTCCTTCACTAACATAACACAAGAAACTGACCCAATTAAATTTATAGGCAGCAGTTTTAAATCAAACAAAATAAATTATCAGTTGAGATTCGTCCTGCTTTTAGCAAGTGGTCGGACTTGATGACCTCCTGAGGTATCTTCCAACCGTATATTCTATTAATTCTGTCTATTATGGAGTGCAATATACAGTGGGGTGAGAAAAACGGCACAATCTAGTTGTTACCCACTCTAATAGGACTGAACCTTTAGATTGCATGATTATGTATTTTATTTTGGTAACTACCCTGACATTTTGCCTCTCGTTTAATACCGCTTAAGTACTATCTTTTATAGTCAAACTGAAAAAAACAATGAATAGTCCGGTAGCACTTTATAAACTAACGGAACATGTAGATGATATCAGAGCTTTTGTGTGTACAGCCCACTTTTTCAGATGACTGGAGGGGGGGGGAGGGTGGAAAAAGAAAAATTGGGAAGGGGGGGAACAAGGCAATGGGTAAAAAATATAAATGTCCTTTGATATATTTTTTACCCACTGCCTTTGCTTATTCCCCCTCCTAATTTTCCCTTCAACCCCCATCCTCCCCATGTCACCCCTATTTATTTTGGTCCTAGACATCCAACACTCCAGTCATCTGAACTGGGCTGTGCCAAAGAAAGTTCTGATATTATCTACATGTTTTGTTAGTCTATCAAGTGCTACCACACTGTTGTTTTTTCAGTTCACCTGTAGAGACTAACTCAGCTACCCTCTGAAGCTTTTATAGTCAGTCATTCAACGAGTTTCACTGTTGATCTTTACCAATGAGTTTGTATAAAGCATGTGGCAAATCTTCTCAAGTTTTTAAGGGTAGTGTAAATCCCCTTTCCATTGACAAAGAAGTGCAACTATTAATAAATGAGACAGTATAAAAGCCTGAGGAACAGTGGTGGGAGTTGGGAGGATTTCACACTGCTGCCTCTCTCAGTGTGATGTGAGTGGCTCTGGGAACATCTGTGCAATTGAGCTGGGTGTAGGACCTCCAAACATGGTTGTGCTTTGTGATTGCAGCTGGAAGAGTTTCTGCTGGTCATGAGTTAGGCATTGTGAGAGACAGCCCAGAGTGAAGCGCCTTCAGAGCATCACAGCATCTTCACAATCCCAGACTGCCAATTCCACCCTGAGGGATCCCACCACATTCCCACCCTGCACTACTGATCAATTTCCATTTGCTGAAAGATGTTAACTCTACCTCTGATCAGCTAAGGATGCCAACTCTACCACCTGCTTGCCTGAAAACTCAACAAGCACAACTATGCTTTTTCCCATGCTACCCCTTACTTCTGAGAAGATCCTCCTAAATGTAAATCATGTGCAAAGCCACCTCATTATCAGCCTTCAAAATCCTCCTCAAAACTCCTTTGCTCTGATGACGACATACAAGTTTGACATAGATTTTCATTCGACAAAGTTTAGGCCACTTGTACCCCAAGTTCACAGACTGACCAATATTGCCTATTTACTTATATTCCCTGTCTTGCTCTGTAGCTATATGCTTTCTCTTGTCTTTTGCATAGACTGCAAGTTCTTTGGGACAGGAAGAGTATTTTTTTTTCTGTGTTTGTATAACACAATGGAATCCAGGACCATAAATGGAGCTTCTAGGCAATACAAACAACTATAAAAAAGTCACTGCTTTCCTATAGATGCGTGAAACCACAGGTGACCAGTCAGCCATAGCTATGCCATCTTAACTTGAATATTTAAAGGCTAATGTAATAATTCAGGGAATATGTGTCACATCATAAACTCCATTCTGTTTTGTGTATGTTCATTTACAACTCAACTGCCCTTGCAGATCAATGCATACACTTTATAGCAGAGTAGAAAGCTACAATCGAGCAACCTAACACTAAATGACTCCTCGCTACTGGAATAGTAAGAGTTCTACAAGCAGGGCTCATTGAGTTTGAATGGACTATTTACTCAGAAAACAAATAGATAAGTCATGGGGTAGCAGGAAATTAGAGCCTAGAAATCCACCAACTAAAGTGTATTGGCAAGGAAGGTGGCATTTTTGGCCTACTTCCTTGAGAAGGCGATCATTTCAACAGCAAAGAATACAAGAGTACTGGGTGCAAAAAGGCAGGACA